TCGTAGGAAAGGAGCACTATAATTTTTCCTAACTAAAATTAATGTTTTTTATTAAACGGTAATTCTTCCTGATCAGGAGCGTTTGAAATCACCAAAATCAAAATTGATTATTTTTGTGTTATCACACCAATGCAAATTATCACACCATGCAATTTACAGGAGAATTGTTTTGGGAGGAAGCAGTATGAACATATACTAACCTCGGGTTAGATCTCGACTTTCAAGAAAACTTTGAACATCTTCGAAAATATCAAATAACCTGTAAATATTTTTCACATAAGTACAAGTAAGAAAAACAAGTATGTACAATATATTTTATCATTAAAAAAATTCTAACATTAATCCTCCGCGCGCTTTCATCTGATAAGCATTACAGATGTGTATTCGGCGTGTACACCATGCAGGTAAACATGAAACTTACATTTTATTATCTGGCAAATCCACACTATTATTGCCATTGTAGCTCGTGCCATAATCGATGAAGTCACAAAAAAAGCCACGAATGAAAGGAAACAACCCAGCCGACGGCAGAGCTTGTGGTCTGTAAATGTCTACAAGAAACCGGATATTTCATAGTTGTATTTGTATTTTGTTAATATATATAGGTACTGCGGAACTACAGGATCGAGTTGGTCTTTTTGAAATAATTTTTTAAATATCAACATAACATAACGGAGAATGTAGTGTATATATATATATATAAATATATATATATATATATATATATATATATATATATATATATTATATATATTATATATATATTAATATACTATACATTAAGAAAGTTATTAGATACAGCGAGAACTGCAATAAGTTGGGATTCACAGATAATTTTGAACATAAAAAATATCTGAAAAAAGTCAGTGCAAAAATATCTGTAAATGTGCATGTTCACAAGCCTTTAAATTTACAGTGAATATGAAAAGGCACAAAACTATATTCAGTACATATACAGTCCACGATTACGTACCAGAATCACGGAATGCAGCAGGACGTCTTTTTCTTACTAACACCAAGATTAGAAAAAGCATCAATGGCCATACAATTTCGACTGCATTTCTCAACTAAAAGAATTCGTTGAAGATGATTCAGAAAAGATTTACAGAGTTACATCCGTACATATCTGTAGATATTTCAACGATTAATCAGTTTATGCTGATCATGCCTTCTTGGCCTTGGGTCTGGCAACATGCAATTACATGCAAGTTCTTTTTCATGTTGATAAAGATATGTTATACACTTCTATAGTTATACTAAATCATCCCCTAAAGCCTGTATGGCAAAGCTATAGGCTTTGCATTGACATTTCATTGTTTTCTTCACGTTATTTTGGCAGTTATTGCCTGCATATCGCCCAGCATTCATGACATGGGTTAAATTTAAACCGGGCAATAGCAAATCGCGTCAATACTAGAAAATTATACACTAAAAGTAAAAATATAAAATGTGGATTTGAGGAACTTTCGAGTTTCCTTTCGTTTATACACCAAGAAATGAAGTGCCTAAATTTATCCGGCACAATTTCACCCTGCTTCGATACAAGACTCCGGCCGGATTTCGCCGAATTCTTAGCCCGTATACTTATAACATATATATATTTCGTTATCAAAATGGAAACGCTAACACAGGAATAATGGAATTATTTTATATTCCTTTGACTGACTGCTGACACAATTATGATATTATATTGTTTGTCGGGAAAAACGGAATATGATCTCTATAGTAAAGTTTCAGTTTCAGTTTTTTAAAGTGAACTTAGGCATTTGGCCTCCTCTGTGATTTGGCACTCTCTTCCGCAACTCCCGCAAGGCTTTAGCCTAGGCAGATATAGAACTAATAGAAGTAGCGGGGCTAAAGCCCGTTTCAGACGTCGAACTTTTCATGTGCCGAATCGAATGCAAATGAGCTTAAACAAATACTTTAGTTCATTAACATTAGGTTCGGCACAATGAAAAGTTCGACGTCTGAAACAGGCCTAAGGGATCATTGACATTTGATATTTGCGCAGTTTGTGTGATAGATTTTAAATGATCCACCAAAACTAGTCCTTGATAAGCAAAAGGTTTATAATCACTTATTTATATATGGAAACACTCATACTGTAGACTTATAGCCGGTAGTTTTATGGTTCAGGAACCAGAATAACTACAAACATCTGTGTCAGGAGAAGGCATTAGTTGATTCAAATTGTTATGATAATTTTTGGTCAAAGAAATTATATATTTATGAAAAAAGTTCACACTGTGTGCTGGGAATATGGGCAGCTGGTAAGATTGAAAAAGCTAATATAATGAAAATAAGAATATTAATAATAAAGACATATCGCTTTCACTATTTTGACTTCTTAGCAGAAAAAACCCCACCATTTTTGTTTTATCCTTGTTTCATCCTAGTTTTTGTAGATTTTGCAGACAAATATTTTCATAAGAAACTGCTACACAATAAAGTGACTAAGTGGATGCGTCAAATGTACATTGCCATGCAAATAAAAGGTTATTGGCCATCTGCTTTTTATTAGGTACATTATACACTTTATGTATGCTCCAGAGGGAAATAGTGAGTTTTGTTTTCCCAAGAGTCGAGAGAAACATTGAAACTTGACGGAAAACAACACTCACTATTTCTCGAGGTAGTGTACATGAACTGTTTTGTTATTTTATATAGGAACAAAATTAACACACATGTTACACAACAATTTCATTTAAAAAAAAATTCCACTTTATTTTGTTATGACAAGAAGCGGGCAACAATTTTTCAGTTGTTTTCCTGGCGGGAAACAGTCAATGTATGGATCATGTTACTGTGAAGTTTTAACCACGTGATATACAAATGTTGTGAACAAATTATATATTGCTATAACACATACATCTGGAGAATGGTTGCGCCTCAGTATTTGACTCTTAGAATTATTAAAGATGTTGTAAATTAAGTCTGTTTTGCACAAATTTGCACTTATTCAGTTATTCTCCTGTTAACAAACTAACCAGTCGCTCCTCAATGTTTCAAATTAAAATAACCAAAACCAGACAACGCTACATGTCGATTCAATTATGATGCCTAGAATGTTGTTAAGATATGTCCACAATGGGCTTTGCATCATTTTTGAACAGGAGTCACAGTGGCCCACCCTTCAAGATATATTTTTCAACATCGCAATATATACTAGTGCGGCACTCAATAACTTTCAAGCAATTACAATAGGTTATACGTAGTAGGAACTATAATAGTTTACAATAGTTCAATAAGCATAAAAAATATTATATAGCCAAGCTATAAGCAAGAACCTAAGTAAAATGTTTAAAATGATTGCAGCATCATATGAGGGAGAGCTTGGAGAGTATACAAAGCACCTAGGTATGAGGCTGCATTTATTGTAGGATTATGCATTTTACAATGCACCTGGGTATGAGACTGCATTTCTAGAGTACAACAGCTTAATATATTAATAATTGAAATAAAATTAGGGCTTTAAGGGAGGATTTTCTTTTTTGAAAATAAATTTTGAAAAACAGTATGGCTGCAGGTGGCAGGATAAATGTTTATGTTGACTATAAAATATGGTTTGATTTGCCCATAATGTAAGAAGCATCAGCAGATTTGTAACCTTTTCTGCCTGTTGCTCACTAATACATGATTTATTCCACATTTTATCTATGGCTGTAAAAGTATAAGAACAAAACCTAACAAAATATACAGCTAGTCAATTACCATAATTGCGTGCGTACTGCATTGAATTGTCAGCCTTCCTCTTTATTACATATAGACAAATTAACTAACGCAGATGCTTGTATTTTAAACAAAGAAACTTCTTCCCATACAATATATGAAAAACGCACACATCATGTCCGAGTCTCTAGATCTGAGAGATGTCTTGCTGGGGACCATCGTGAGAACTCAAAATCAGTGCTCGAAAAAATATTCTTTTGATACAAAAATAAGAAATGCCACACAACGTCGACGAACTAAACTGATGAAAAACCTCTACATGCAATTTATAATATATCCCAACGAACGTTAATCCCCCTTGGTATTAACACATGAAAAAGTTGAAGTCTAAATGTAAATACAGCATTAAACAATATTAAATATATGAAACTTTTTAAAAAGTGTCGCTCACCCACTGACGCCGCCGAATTGAGAAGTTTTTCCAAAGCAACAGTTGGATTTGTTGTAAAAATTTCAAAGCCATAATGAAAGCTGTGTTGATGTAAATGTATCCGTTGTTATTTTCCGGAACATATACACAAGTTCATGTCCAAATCTCACCAGTATGAAAATCGTAAAGCAATTCGAGACGTCGGTCAATCGCAAGTTGAATGTTGATAATAAGCTTTTATTGTTTTTATATCGCTGAAATTCAACCTAGAAAGAATATAGCAGTCGTTAAGCCCTTTGATATGCCATACTTTAATGTTTTCAATCTTTCACACGGCAAATTTACGCAAAAGTGCAACGCAAAATGTTCTTATGTAACGTTATAGGAGGACTTTATTTCTGTCGACGTTCTGTTGTGAAATTATGCAAATGTGATGGCTAATAAATGCGAATAAAGTCCATGTTTACGTTATTTTTCCTTGTTCACACCCCCTGTTAATATATTGAATTGGTATAATTTACGGGGGCTTATAAATATTATTTACGTGCGATTTACCGGAAGCACCTGTATTCTCCGCATTCGAAGCACCACCAATGGCAATCGCAGAAAACCGGATGTATATGTCTGCCCTCTTCCTCTGTCTCACTGCCCAACCCGCTCTCACCCCAAAGCGTGGGCCGCGAGGAGCGTGGGTAAAAGAGCCTGGCTTGCGAGGTTGCTCTCACCCGGTGTCACGCGAATTTGAGGTAAGATCGCCCACCGCCCACACGATTGGAAGTCTACGGGTGTTAAAAAATTCGTTTTTGTTTTTGTGAAATGAAGTATTGGGTATACCTCTGCCCAGCGGTTTATTTATCAATTTTGGAATAAATTTAAAAAGATAAACCTTCTTTGTTTTTGCTAAAGATTGTGTTGTTTGATTTCACGATTTTTAAATAAACCTAGTTATTGCAATCCTAACTATAGTGGTTAATTAATTTGTTACTAATGGTGAATTAGAAGATGGTGGTAAGTGACAACTCTGAGCTTCTATCAATATTCAATAGTTATGCAGGTATCTAGGTAAATATATAGCAGGTAAATTGCGTTGCTTCCGTGATAATTCTTTAGTATGAGTCAGCAAACTATGCCATAACTGATAAGGTAGCTCAAGAAGTAGTGACGTTTAGGTTATTGGCTGCGATGGCTGCTAGGCAATACTTTCCACTGTTTATCTAAGCAGTTTCAGTTATAATGCCAAGTCATCATTGGTAATCTATGATGGTGAAAGATGATAAACTGTATTATATATGTACAATCTAAAGGTAGACCAGTGTAATACTTACCATAACTAAATAGTAAATGTGTTCTTTGTTATATGTGAGCACATCAACACATGAAATTAATATTTACCATGTAAACACCAACAAATTTGAACACAGTCATGGATTTATCTAGCTTGTAATGTACAATTCAGCCTATAAATAAGCCGTAGACAAACTTTTTGTCTCTGAAGCTTTAAGGGAAAAGAATGCATAGCTAGTTACACAACAAAATTGATTAATAGGATACTTACAACCTTGAAAATTTCCAAACAATGTAGAAAATTGCCCTGCAATTCAAGTGTAATTTGGAGAATGTCACAGATCTTCAAGCTGAGGGGGAAGATTTTAGATGGTACTTGAAGGTTAGACAAACATATTATTTTAATCAATCATAATATTGCTTTCAAAATGACAAAGCTAGTGCATGATGGCATTAACCAGAAAGAATATTTTGTAATTTGTAAAGCAAAAATGCACAATTAAGGAACTTAAATTTCATTTAGGTAAAGTGCCTTAACTGTGGAGAGGAAAATCCTTCATGGATCTATGTAACACTTGAGGTATGGCAAGATAAAATAATTTTGAATTTATTTACTCAATCACTTCACTTTTTTTAAGAAGAGAAATGAATAGTGAATAATTTAGAGAATAATTAAATGCATATGGTGTGCAATTTCAGGATAGCCAACCAGTCAAAGGGGGCAGAGGAAATGCAAACTTTGTTACACACTGTAAACTTTGTGGAAGACAGAATTCCTTGGGTAATTTTGAAATTTACCTATACTTGATTGATTATCAGGGAATCGGAAATGGAGCACAGAGATATGTAACGAGAGTAGTGGCATAGGGAGCTTTGATAATTAGGGGTTTAGTTTAGGGAATAATTAGCCCTTTTACATGTTAATTCAATGGATACAGTACAAAATATTAAATGGATATATTGAGGAAGCTACTTAATAGATTCATAATCTAAGCTTAGGCAAAGTCTTAACAGCATCTGACCTAAACAAACTACTGTTTCTATGACAAATTTACGTTTCCCTCCGTTTTCCTAAAATTTGTAAAGATTCGTAATATAGGAAGACAAGGAGATCACCGAACTGCACATTTGCTTACCCATGCAAAGTTTTTTGACTAGAAATATTGCTTCTCTTATTATTGGTATGTGATTACTACTGTAATCATAGAAAATTGAGAAGATATATTTTTTATATACTAATCTGATAAAAAAGGTTCTACACTTTGAATTATGTCAATCATGGGGACAGGCAAAGACATACAATCACCCCTGCTGCCAATGAAAAGATATTCTTTTAACCAGTAATACAAATTTCTTTTAGATATCTTGAAAGATTCCATTTGTTTATACAAAGTATGTCAATCAACGACAGTCAATGTCATTTCCATAATAAGATTGTAATAAGATTGTAATTTTTTTCCGCTTCCCTGCATGCTACACAGCCCACGCTATTCTCGTGAATTCTCTGATATTTGATCAAAAAGCTATTTATGGTGTTTTAGAAGGAAGGCACAAACACACGATTATTAAGATTATCTCTAAACACCTTAAACATTTATACGTAGTAAATTATCTAATACAAACGAAGGGAGTGCAATTTTATAACTGATATGAAATCATAAACCATTACGGGCATAAGACTATTATGTATTTTATAAAGCTGCAGACGAAGACTCGCACTTGACGAAGAAATATTTCAATGTAATAACCATCATAATAACCATGCACTCCCCGACGTTGGCACACCGAACCCAAGCCTAACGCTAGTTGTACGCACGCTCAAATAGCGTTAAAAATATAGATGCACCCGATCATAAATAGAGTTATAGGTCAAACCATTACTGCCATCACTATTAAATACGCTTAAACTTTTCTAGATCCAAGACAACAACAGATTCAAAACCCTTGTTTCATTTGATTGTCGAGGACTGGAACCAATTGATTTTTCACCGAGAGTAAGCTTACCTAGCTGACTGTAACTACCACAGTAACTTGGGAAATGTAAGTACTTGAGTAATTACCACAATGTCATTGTTTTTCAGGTTGGTTTTGCAGCGAAGGGAGTAGAGAGTGAAACAAAGTTTCAAGATATTAATTTAACAGAAAAGGTATTTTGGCTCCTATTTTATGCTGTGTTTTACGCCAGAAAAACGGTACATAGCCTGTTCAATAACATTTTAAATTAGACATTGTGGGCAATTAGGTTGGTTACAACTAATTTTATGTTTCCACGAAACAGGAATGGGCTGATTACGACGAAAGCGCACAAGAAGCTGTTGGAATTTACGAAGTTACCCATCAGTTTATCAAATTGTAATTTATCTTTAATGGCATATAGATATACGCATGTAGAATAATTAACTTATATTTAATATGTAAGACTGTTTTACCGTAAATTCTTAAAACAATGAAATCGCGAATGGTCAATAAACTTTCCACTTTGTCAAAGAAAACTTTCTTAGTCTGATGTATCATGTATGAACGGGAAACTCAAACCCCCAGGGACGGCCAGTAAAGCCCGGGACAGCCTCACAATAATACATCCGTGATCCGCAATTCCTTTACGTAATCCCCATAAAAGTATAAATCACTTGCAAAGACAGAGTTCTCTCCGTCTGGATTCTTGTAAGACTGAGACTGGAAATATTACATCAGCAAAATGCAATGTAGATGGATATTATAAACTAAAGAAATATTGTTATTATTGTATATACAAATTGCACCATTGAGATTAATAAACACGGTTTATTCATGTCAATGGATTGCACTCATTGCAGTAATCATTCGCTTTACATGTGTACAAAACCCATAAGGAAAATTTAACCATATTTTAAGTGAGAAAGATATTGGATCGTTACCTTTTCTCATTGTGCAATTTCAAAAGCTGAGAAGATTGGACGATTGCTAAACACATTTTGTAAATATGAAGAAAAATATAAAAATAAACAACACACAAACCGAGTTAAGGTTGTTCAATGGTACTGAAATAGATCGTTATCTGTGTCACATCAGGATTCTGTCAGAGAAAGTGGAACGAGGTTTTAAAGAAGATAACAGTTTGACGACACGTAAATATGTATAGAACTATATTATTATATATGATGGCCAATGGCCTCGTTTTCTATTTATATCATTAATCTGATTTCTGAATTAAAATCATACCTGTATGTGTACAACTATCTTAATTTTCAAGGAAAACAAAATGTCAGAAATGATGTTGATCTATCAAAGAGTGATGGCAAGTCATGTCTTCTTTGTGGTGTGACATTTTTAACATTGGAAGAACAGGTTTATTCTTTTTTACTATGTCAGGATTTCCATTGTTCTCTAATTTACCCAGGCTTGCATTTCAAACATTAAACCTGAATAACAGTAAATTCATAGCATACATGTTCATTTTTACTTATGTAGAGAAGTCATTTCACACTTGATTGGCACAAATATAATGTAAAGCAGAAATTACTGCAAAGAGATCCAGTGAAGGAAGATGAATTTGAAGAGATGATTTCTGGTAAATAATGGGTGTGGTATGAAGTATGAATTATTATAGTTAAGGGTCATGCTCAATGATTAGAGAGGATGAATGTTGTGACAACTATAAGACTATACACTGCAAGAAACCAAGAATTATGTCATCAAAAGTCAGTAGTGGATTACAAAAGTGGCAAAGACTTAGAGGGGGCATTTGCCCTTGGAATTTTATCGGCTCAATCAACGATAATCCACCTACAAATTATTCATATTTTTTCTGCATACATAATTTAAGAAATTCTGCCGTACCTTGGATCCTCCAATGAATGGGATATCATGTATGTGAAATATGGATGGAAGCGTTTCTAAGACTTCTAGTTAACCAATTTATTTCATACTGATACTAATTAATAGCAAAATCAGCTAGGGGGTACAATACAAGTAAACCCTTGTGCCCAATATCTACATCATCCACCATTTCACCCCTTATTAAGAATTTTATGCTTCAGGTGAACTTTCCAGTATATCAGGCTCTGAATCTGATTCTGCAGAAGAAGTTCTGACTACAGCAAATCCTGAAACAATACCTCTGATGACTCTCAGTTTATTGCCAAATCAAAGAGATTTGAAATCAGAAGAAAATTTAGTAGATAGATCAAATCCAAAAGTATATTTTGTTAATCAAAATGGAACACGTATGTCTGTTTTTCGAGAAGTTGTGTACGGAGCAAAGGTAAATAATTACAAGATGCATATATGGCTCTTTTCGTCACTGATCATTGGAGAAAAAAAATTGTCTGGTTTGATACCAGGACCTGATTGCGACCGTTTATTGCGCGGAAATCATGATAAGGCTAAATCTTCCATATACTAAAATGATGTCAATTATCTCTTTCCGTCAGGTTTTTTCAATCATTTTTCCGATCTTTATTCAATCTTTGTACCTAAAAGCTAATTTATTTACATTTGAATTTCTTAGAAATACATACAGCGCTCGCCTCTAGGACATCGAAATCCAGGCGTTCAAAAATCATCTTCTGACTCAAAAAACATACTCTGACTCTAATATGATCAATACAGATCATAAAGATTACGTGATTTAAGTGAAACTCAGTTTTGTAATGAAAACTATTCTCCCCAGGAGAAGCTCGCGCGTGAAGATATTGTGTCCCGAATTCAAGATCTCCCACAAGAAAAGACCTGGTTAATCTTAATGACTGGTGGTGGCCATTTTGCCGGAGCTGTCTTTTCCGGGTACGGCTGTCTTTCTGAGTATTTTGATGGAAATGTATGATCCCATGCACATGCATTTACCACTCTGTTGTATGCAGGAATGATGTGTTGGTTAGTAAGACATTTCACCGATATACCGTAAGAGCTAAGCGAGGAACGGCCCAAGGAATCAGGGACAATAAACAAGGCGGACATGCACCAAGGTAGTTATAGCCGCAAACCGTGCGTTGAAACATATTGCCAATATTGTATAGGCATTTAGCCTGCGAAAGCACAGAGGCTTGCCTTCAGTAACCACAGTGACTGCACAGAGTTTGATATAATTGAATAACTAATGAGAAAAGCTGGTTATTTCTTATTTTTTAAGATCAGCTGGGGCAACCTTGAGACGTTACAACGAAACTGCATTAGTACAGTTTGTTACAACATCTTATTAAGCTGTTCAAGCCAATTTTTAGTGTGTAATATACGATTAAAAAATTGTTAATTTTAATGCTTCTTTAGGATATTCAAAATCTTTTGGAATCATGGAGCGAGCATATAGAAAAATGTAGCAGAATTTTCATGCGAGTCCCAAATAATTACAAATGGATTTTCTTCACAGGAAAAAAACCTCCATTTGAAAAAGGTATTCTGTCGATAGTGATTATGCCTCAACACTTAATCACTTCTTCCTTGCAAAAAATTTGAAATCCTGCAACTCTGTAATGCTAAACCATATGGTAGATGACTGACAGCCATTACTGTGGACTTCACTCGATGTTGGATCATTTTGTAAATGGGGATAAGTTAATAACTTAATAGCGAAGGAAAATTTCTCAAATTTAAGCCAGGGATAGCTGAGAAAACGGCAGGAATTAAGAGCCTACGCGTTTGCAACCTATCCTTTATTTCTCATTTAGATGATTTACGTATAAGAGTTATTCCTTTCCCAACACGACGAGCGACATTTAAAGAATTAGAGAATGTACAGAAAAAGTTATCATCTGTTATTATTGAAGGTACGATATGATTTGCCTTTTACAATAAAGTTGGACAGTGATTGGACATTTATCCCGTATTTCTATTTAAAGCTATAGGCTGTTGTAAATAGGCCCGTTATTGCTGGTATTAAAAAAATTTCTGAGCTCGGTGAGGTCATGATGTTGTGAAGCAAACCATACTGACAAATTTATATCATTCTTTTCCTGTTTAGAAAATTACATAGAAGAATGTAAAAGTAAAACTGGTGTTGTCAGAGCTGACGAAAACCCCGAGGATAAAACGATAGAACAAAAAACGAACAATTTACAGGATGATCAGAGCCAAATGTTCAAAAGTTTAGATAATTTAGCAAAAAAGAAGTCTAAAAGCGAAAAAACGTCGAAAAAAGACAATCAAGAAACAAACACAGCAGAAAGAACACAGGAAGGTAACGTGGATCTTATTAGTTATTATTAGATGTATGCCATCTTTATAGCAAGGAAGATTGGCCTCCATTGAGACTTCGAGACATGGATGTATAAAGCATATGAAGAGTGGGATATTTGTTAACACTCAACTGAACAGGGATGGGGATTTCGCTTGATCGGTCAAAAATTTCACAACTGTTTGTAGGCTAGCTACGATGTAGTATACGCAATGAAATAATATTGTTTTCTAGTAGGTTTGTAATATGCATGCAGATAATAATGTCAATGTTTACATATTAATGTAAAAGAATGTCCAAACCATGAATCATATTTATCTATTATCTATATCAAATTCTTTATGGACTACTTTCAGTTGTACCGACAATCTGGATTGAGTTATACGAGGCAGTGAATACTGAGAACTCAGGAAAAACGAGAGGGGTTATAGAAAGACTTAAAGATGAAGAACTGAAGCACGAATGTAGCGTGTTGAAATATACGGAAAAGTGGAGTGATGGAACTGAGAAGAGCGAGACAAATGAGAGTAGTAATGACGATGAAGATAGATTGAGCAAGTGTGGTTGGGCACAAACCATGCTTAATGAGAAGTTTGAGAGTTACGGGGAAACAATCTTACATCTTGCATCACGTCTTGGTCAGCCGGAGATCGTTAAAATTTTACTTGAAACTGGAGGGAATCCATCAATTAAGTAAGAATTTCGACGCGGGTCAAGAAATTAGAATTACCCTTGCGCGACTTTGTCAATTGCAGCTAAACTAAAATATGTAGGACATGCATTAACTGTTGACTGTAACATGTTGAACTTGCTCGCAAGTGTCTCTCACTTTCACCGTGCATGCCACGAATCCAAAGACAATTTAAAAATATAATAATATAATACCAGAGGTCTGCCATTGCTCCTCTTACCACCAGATATACTGCTGATATAAATTGTCCGCAATTTTCCTTCAGAGATTCCTTGGGTCGTGTTCCATATAATATCGCCAAAGACAAAGAGACGAGAAATACATTTCGTCGTTTTATGGCCTTGTATCCTGATAAATACGACTACGATGAAGCCAGGGTAAGCCTCTTTGTTTTTTTACACCTGCATGTAGAATCTTTCTCTGCAATCGTTCTGCCCAGAATAATGTACTTCAGGTACTTTGGCCATGAGTCTCTTTAAACTTAAATTTCGTTTCTAATCTTTAGCGATTTTTGTTGAAATGTTCACTTTATCATTGCACGGTTTGCCTGAACTCTGACAAAAAATGTCTGAAAAAGATGCTTTTACAACAATGATTCCCGTTAGTCAATATCGTTTATTCGT